TTTCTCAGTCAAACAGACATTTTCCAAATTTAAGTGTTCGTGTTGTTCTAATTTTCCCATATAGTACAATAAAATTTTGAAATGGATCTCGACGAATCTGTATTGCATCTGCGTTAGATATTGAGTCTTTGTTTTTTATTATAGTAATAGTAAACCTGGTCTACGAGATTGATTTCATTTATATTTTTTCCTTAATATTAAAAAATGTATAACATATACGAGAGATGGGCAGGTAGATTAATTAACAACAATTTAATACTTTTGAAGCGATTATGGAATCAAATGGTCAAGTTTACCTTCAAAATCTTTGCTATAGATTCGAAATGGGTGTGTTCGTGATCGTATCTTTCAGCAGCTAAATCTCTTCTTTTTTTTTATGTTAAAGTGACACTGACAATGGGTGTATGAAGGGAACAAAAGTTGCTTGGAACAAAAGTTGCTTGGAAATACACTTCATGTTTAAATGAAGTCAGCATGTATAATAGTGTCTTTGGAATAGTAAGTGTAACGCAGCTAAAATTATAAAAAATACAAAACTTCAATATTCATTTGATTTTATTAGTATAAAGAAGTGACGCGTTCAAGGTTCAATAAGTGAAAAATCAACGTTCGTATCATATCGCATATGTTATGGATCGATGTTATATATCTTAAATTAACCTTCACTTTAAAGTTCGATGTGGTCTCTCACTATGATGTCCTCAGGAAATAACAGAAACATATGAACAACACATAACACACCTTTGACGTTTTGATAGAATGACTTTACACATCAGACAAATCACATGCATTCCTAAAGATTCAAACAGGTATGACACAGTACAATACTCAAAAAATTCACCTGTGTATAGAATATGTAAAACCAGATCAGCATTTATCAGTCTCACCACTCACAGTGTTTGTCCTCACAGCAGAATTGTTCTAGAACTTCATCAGCTTTTGCATTTCATTTGATTCACACACTTCACACACTATTGGTTAAGTCAAAAGGTCTTTTCAGGTTAAGATTTGGCTTGGCTAGAAAAAGAATCATGGTTTTTCTTGGATTCAAAGACACCTATTAAGAAGAGAACAACTTCAATTCCCAATACAGTACTCAAATCCCAAGTCTCGAGTTAAAGTTAAAGGTTGAGAAACACGAACATAGAAACTCATTTTTGCATTAATGATTACTTTTTCTTATATTTTATTTTTATTTTTCTATTCATTATTTTTCTTTAAAAAATACCATGATTATTTTAACTGTGACATCCCAAAATATATGGTGTGTGTATATAATAAAAACGTCATCAGATTATAATAATAGAAAGCAGTTGGAAACATATATCCGAATATTAGGATTACAGTCATCCTTAAAATACTAAGAAGCGAAACAAATGTACTCAAGTCTGCCCATATACCATGGGTTCAACATATTACAGTTTGTAAAATGAAAAAAAAAAGAGTTAAAGTAAGGAGATCCTAATGGTATTAGGATTCAGCGTCATCTTCCTCTAATGTTTGCTCCAGGGATACCTCCTCGCCATCTGCTCCCATCCAAGTGAATGATCATCGTAAGAGAAAACATACCCAAACATAGCACGAACACAACAAGCAAGGGTGAGCTAATTATATAAAAAGCATACAATATGACAATATGCATGCAAGAGTTAACTTCNCTGTGACATCCCAAAATATATGGTGTGTGTATATAATAAAAACGTCATCAGATTATAATAATAGAAAGCAGTTGGAAACATATATCCGAATATTAGGATTACAGTCATCCTTAAAATACTAAGAAGCGAAACAAATGTACTCAAGTCTGCCCATATACCATGGGTTCAACATATTACAGTTTGTAAAATGAAAAAAAAAAGAGTTAAAGTAAGGAGATCCTAATGGTATTAGGATTCAGCGTCATCTTCCTCTAATGTTTGCTCCAGGGATACCTCCTCGCCATCTGCTCCCATCCAAGTGAATGATCATCGTAAGAGAAAACATACCCAAACATAGCACGAACACAACAAGCAAGGGTGAGCTAATTATATAAAAAGCATACAATATGACAATATGCATGCAAGAGTTAACTTCAATCAAGCAAGGTAAACACACATTCTAACATGTTGAATACTATACTTGACTTGTCCGGATTTTAGAATGATAGTCGAGCTATGGCGGGTCTTGAACTCGTGGTGGCTTATGAAACTTGGGTTCCCCCACCCTACCACACTCACGAGGTTAGCCTGTTCCAGGCCTTGAGGCATACTGGAAGCCCCCAAGACTGAGACCTCCTGCTACTCTTCACCAAATGGTTCAATCCTCTCTACGTGAGAAGAAAGATCATTGGAGTTTCAGGAAGACCCCTAAGACTGAGCTCATACTTTCATTCTAAACAACTAAGGGCACCACCATGGATCTTCTCCGTGAATTACGTCCATCAACCATACTTTTTAAAACCACATACTTTGAATCACCAATCATACCATTGAATCACACACACATTCACTTTAACAGTATACAACAGGTTTGAATCCTATCATACGATATAATTTGCTCCAACACATACTTCACAAACCATACAACATTCAACTCTAAGTGAAACAATATAAAAGAAAAAATAGAAAATAAAACCTCGAACGCTTCGCACAACGCACCACCCTCGCAAAATGAAATTGGCGTTATTCGCATAGCGCACCCCTCCTAGCTCGCCTTGCGAATTAAGTCTGAATAAATGTAAGACTTTGGGTCTCTCGCATAACGCACCCAGGTCGCTATGCGAGAACCTAGACAGAGACCAACCCCCTTAAAACTCTCGTCACACGCCCCACTCGCCTTTCGAATTAAATGGGTTGTGGTTCCAGACCATCATCAGTGGCATAGCGACAGGATTCGCCAGGCGAATCCATAAACAGAGAGCAACACCCTCTGGTCATTTGCACAGCGCACCAGCTCGCACAGTGAATGACTCAAACAGTGAGCACTCTCTACAGGGTCTCGCTATGCGAGACAGCTCGCATAGCGACTCTGCATCATATGCAGAACGCGAATTCTGCAGAATCACACACTTACACCAATCCTTACCGTTTCTAAGCCTCCTTGCCAACTTCTAAGACCTCCAATTCGTGTATTAAGCTCAATTACAATTGCCTAGATGATCCTAACCATTCCCATTACTAATCTAAAGTGATTAAGATCAAGTTGTATCTTTTAAAACATCAATTCATACAATTTACGGACCCAATTTCAATTCAATCATTTTGCACCTGTTTTGACCTGTTTGATGACTCTAACAAGTCACAATTAACCTCCCTATATTGTCCCAACAAACTATAAAAGCCCTAGACTCTTAATCCTCAAATTCCTTATCCGACTTCCTCCAAAATGACTTAAACCACTACCAATTCACTATGCTTTCTTTCTAACCAATGTTGTAACAAACTTCACACCCCGAATCACTCCCAACCTGATCAATCACAGTAAATTAAACTCATCCACTCAGTTCATAACATCACAACACAGTTCATAGTTTTCACACATCAACACATATAATACAATATTCTCAAAAACGAAACATACCACTCTAAACAGCATACCAGTTCAGCATTCAACATGCATACACATTTATAAAACAGATTTAAAACAAACAACTAACTCCCCTTACCTTGGTGGTTATAAGCACAGTACTACTCAGAATAGTAGCAAAACCCCAACAGTGCCTTACACAGCCAGCACACAGTAAGAGCCGACAATCCACTAAAGTGGAGACAGAAACAACTCTTAGAGCTATAATAGGCACAAAATTAAAAGAGGAAGATTACCAACTGCATGCAACCAGTAAAGTTGCATGTCCTAAGCTCAAGAGAGATGGAGAAACTGACTTAACCTATTTGACAATGCAACGGTTATAATTTGTGAATGGGTAGAGAAAAGGCAGAGCAAGAAGAAGAAGAAAACAGAGTTTAGAGAGAGAAAGAGAAGTTGACTAATGAACTCAGATTAGGAAAAGTCTCTTCTAAGATCATGGTGTCCTTAGTTTTACGGGTCTGACTGGCTCAACATAAGGCCCAAAAGCCCCGTACTTTTCAGGTCCTTACATTAACTCTAGTGAATTGGGTGAAATGATTGTCGCACATTATCAAACACCTTTTTTTCTTATAATTGTTTGTTTGGAACTGTAAGTGCAGACTGGATAGGGATTCTTTGGTGTTGGGCTTTCAAATGGGCCCATTCAGTGGTTGGGTTTGGAGAAAACAACCCATTGGACCTGTTAATACTGCAAAAACTACACAAGGTGAAATGTCATTGGATCAATGATTTTGGGTTTAGGAAGAACCTTTTGTAAATAACAGTTGCTGCTATCACATTCCAACCGTTGATTTAACATGTGATAGTAATACATGCAGATGCAATAGTAAAAAAGAACCTCTTGTTCTTTTTTAATATAATATGATACATGCAGACTCCATAGTAATACATCAAGCTGAACCTTTTAAATAAAGGGATAACATTAAAGCAAATAAAATATTATATTATTAAAATAAATTTTATCACAAAAAAATAGTATTAAAATTGAAATAATTGAAGACTTTAAAATGTAAAAAAGTGTCAAAGTCAAACAAACTGAAAATTTCCCCCAAAAAGTTCAGCAAAGCCTGTCTAATTAGCACTCCATTTGGTTGAGAGGATGGAAATAACATTGGATGCTTGGCCAGATAAGAAAAGAAAAGAAATAATTTTAAGAAATGTTAATACCCACTGTACTTTGTGGTACTTATTTCTACTCTATCTATCTCTTCTCATCAACCAAACACCTTTAATTTTCATTTTATTTCTCACCGATTTCCACTCTAGCAACTTATTTTTATCCAACATATTCTTTCCTCTCTCTATAAATAAAGGGCCAGACTAATGACTACAGCAGAATTATGTTGGCTTCATTTTTTTCATTATAATCTAGCTTTGTTGGCTTAACTTGATTCATTGCAAGACAGCATAGTATTATTACTAGATCAAAAGAAATTCAAGAAGTCGTACTACAAGGAGGAAAATGTTAAAAAGATAAAATTACAAGAAAAATAATCCCAAGGTTTCAATAATTCATTTACCTGACCAGATGCAGCCAAGGCATCTGTAAGAAGGGAAACAGCCAACCACACTTGCATACATATCTGATGTGCAGCCATAGCTACTGGACCATGTCGAGCAGCCATTGATGTCCCCAATGTAATGGTTGAAAGAACAGCAAGTGTTCTTCCAAGAAGGTAACCACCTGTGGCAGCCCAAAGATCAAAACTATAACAACTAAATTAACCTAACAGAAAGCTAAGTAATATACAGAGTAAAAGACAAAACGAGAAATGCGTCCATGCGATCATAGTTATAAAACGTCATAAATTAATAATCTCGTTAAAAAAATATTCTTCTGATCCCAACTTGGGCCAGTTTACAGAGTCAGTAATTTTGATAATTAATTGCAGAACACTTTTTGGTAAGAGTCTTATGTAAGTTTTTGTCAATAACATAAACTCAATCTCTAAAATTAAAAATATAAAATATAACCAGGACAATTTAGTAAATTAGGATTCTACTGTTTTTTTTTCTAGAAATTTAAAGCCAGGGGAATTTCATCTTTAATTTTTTTTTTCATTGAATATGAAAGCTCTGGTATTATGTTTTTGAATTGCAGCGGAAGATTGTAAAGTGCTATTGCTACTATGAGTGCTTCTCTTTGTGTCATTGGTTCCAAAGAGGTATTCCTCA